CCCAATGCTTTTAATACTTATGCCGCTACTTTACATGGTAAATGCCAAAAACATTCGCGGGGGTGTTTCAACAACTTTCAGCGACATTGACCCGTAGTACCCGAATAATCCGAACTTGGAACAAAAATGCGCAAAACTGATACCTAGAATCTTATGAAACAGTTCACACACGACAAATTCCTTTGTTTTATCTCCCTTTTAAACACAGTAAAGATCTAGTTTAGTCATGTACAGTGATTACAATAAGCTTTCTTGATTAATCATGTAAATGAATCATTTACTGAATAAATAAGTAATTAACCAGATAAGTATTAAAGTAAGTAGATAAGTAAGACACCACCTTTAAGTTCGTCTAAATGTAAATTTGAAACCATAAATAACTCTTAATCCCCAGCTGCTTTGGCGCCTTTTCTTACTTTGTACAGCTATTCCGTTGTGGGCATGGCCCAAAATTTCCTGGACTATACGAAAATATGCCTACTGACTAAGGCCGGCTGCACATCATCTCATTAAGTAAATGTTGCCTATGGAGAAAGGTACGGTTCCATTAAGAAATGCTCCTCTGACAATCTGGAATATGAATATGAGTGTTTCCCGCAACTCCTTCACCTACAGCGATCTGTAGGAAAATGACATCAGACAGCAAAGGAACGGTTTTAAGCACGTAATCAAATATATGTTTGTCAACACTGCATGTTTGTAACCACACAAAAAAAATATAGTAAAATAAAAACGGAGCAGAGACCTAACTTTTTAACTTCCGGTTTACTCCTGGACGAGACATCGCTGTCACTGAAATTTCTACTCGAACAGCCTGCTAAACAACCGGTGACATCGCTGCTGCACCGTTTCGCTTCGCAAAGGGTTAAACAGTCGAGCAGCTTTCTAAATGCGTCACTTTCTAAGCCCAGGTATTAAACAGTTAATGGTAAAACGAAAGCATTGAGTATTGCGAGCGAAGCTATCCGTTGTCGAACTAAGTCAAAAAAAGGTAATCACAGAAGAAAAAATTCAAGTACAACTTTCAATTGCCAGCATATCAATAAGCTGTAACAATGGCATAAAGTTACAGACTTTAGCAAATGTCATGGTTAAAAATCAGAGGTTGCAACTGTTAGACACAATGGTTGAGCAGAGGCTGGTTTCAGGTTCCGGTCCATGAGCTTCTTGCACTAATGTTAAAAATACCACTTGCATGAACAACGCAAATGTAGTGACGATGACCGATAGCAAATGTACTGAAAAGTGGCGAATGTATCGGGCATAAGAAACCGCAGAGGTTCTGCATATGCAAACGGCTTAATGTATTGACTTCAGCAACAAATTGTGTAAATTTCATACTCAATGGAACCAGCAGGTAGAATATGCTTCGATTCTAACCAGGCATATTCAATAAGACTTTTTCAATAAAAATAAAAACTGTTGGCAAAGTATAATTAAATACAGAACGTACTTGCCCCGTCCGTCAAGCTTCGCTGCAAGATGTCGTGCGCTGTGACCACTTTTGTTTAAAATATTCACGTTGGCTCCGAAAACTAAGAGTGCCTTAGCGATGTCAATGTTTGTCCTCTGAAATGATGTAAACGATAAAAAATAAACTTCAACGAAAACTAACGAAACTTACGGAAACGGCCAAGTGCAGACAAGTGTTGCCATTCAAGTCCTGGGCGTCGATATCTGCACCGTACGACAGCAACGTGACGACACAGCCGATATTGCCGGCGAATGTGTGAAGATGCAGCGCCGTTTGACCGGCCTTGTTCCTCATGTTGAGATCGATGAAGCGACAAGGATTAAGCAGGGCAATCAGATTCTAAAAGGAGGTATTTAATAAAAAACAAATGACAATTGCCATCAATTAACAACATCTTATAACACGATAGACCATTTTGATTTTTTTTAAACTGAGTCAATAAAAAACATCAGAAAACAAGAGTTTGCTTGAAATTGTGGATAAAAATGTCAAATTCCACTTTACTCTAAAATACTCCATAATCCAATCTAGGTAACTGTCACCAAGAGAGAGCAATGAGCAAAGTATGGCATCATGTTAAAGGAAAAAGTACGGTGAAATACATCCTCTTGTGCTATAATGACAGCCGTGAGGCCATCATGAACTGTTTCCAAAAGGTGGGGTTAAAGAGGCTCTGGCAACAGGAATTTACGGAGCTCTTTATGTCTTTAAGACAGATGTGAAAATGAAAAGTTGTGGTGGGAGCAGCCCATATGGCATCACTACGTTGTTGCACATGGCGTCAGAACGGTTTTCAAGGATTTAGCAGAAATGATATTACGAAAGAGTGAATGACCTCATATGGGAACTGACTTAGCGAGCAGTTGACGTCACTCTCGCTAGTAGGCATTTTAGTTTCTGCACATGTACTTCTGTTGAATTGTTGGGGACGAAAGGAAGAGTGACTAGCAACCCTTATATTTGCGTGCTTAGATTTATACCCAATGAATAGCCGTGATGGTAGCATGCTGGGCATCAACTATGCGCCTCACTCCTTCATCCGTCATTCGGGCTATTAGTGCAGTTATACGGCAATACCATGACACGCAATCACTCATAACAATTAATTATGCAAATTTGTTGTCTCTCTTAAATGTACCTGTTTACTAGACGCCAGATGCAATGCGCTGTTACCGGTCTGTACCTCGACCGCATAAATCGCTTCTGGGGATGCCTCAGCTAATGTCTTTACAACCCTGAAATATCAAACTATTAAACTTCAGAGTTGAATATTCGAAGAATAAAGCAATTTATGAAACAGAAGTAGCAACTATATATATATCCTTCATTTTTTTATTAAGATACTTTTTAATTAATATTTAACTGTTCTGCTCAACGAACAAATTTTTTTATACAGTTACTCGACTTGCTGTCAATTACAGATATAGCTTAATGTATGGTAATCTTGACGCTTATATGATAGTCTATGAAGAGTGCTAGGTCCTGAAATATCATTCGTGATGATAATGAAGGTGTTCGTGGAGAAAGAAATTATGCCAAATGCAACCAGAGCGGTAGATGTTCAAATATCATAAAACCGTTGCCTGGTTAAACGCCCCAAGCGATGATGTTTACCGTAAAATCTAGTGCTGGAGGAGTTATGCGCCATCCACAACATATCCGGCGTAACGACATTTATTCTGATTTAAAATATTATGGTAATAATGTTATTTTCGGCAATTCACTTTGATTCAGAATGCTGTATCGTAATAATATAAATTACCACATTACTGCACACTACATTGTGGCGTAATATAGTTTAATGTAGCAACATTCATACAGGCTGCTACTGCCAGTAATTCGCGGCATCTGTGAATTCAAATTATCACTGATGACTGCACCACAATATGCATTCATATCTAAAAGTTTGAAGAGCAGCTGATGACTGCAGATCGATGTACGAACTTCATTTACCATTAAACTTTCTATAGCTCTGTTTTCAGTGATACAGACAAATATTTACTCAGCCATGTTCTAGTTTCTCAATGACAAAAGACTTCGGTGTATAATACGTAATTGCACAACAATATTTAGCCCTTGTAGAGGTGGGGGAAATAAGAAATCGATGTTGAATAAAAACAGAGTAAAAGTCTGCCTAAATCGAAAAGAACGCGTCCTCCCATCATCTTTCCAAGAATTATAATATCTTTTTTGTCACAGAACTTACTGCTTGGCACTAGTCTCCGTCATGATTGCATCAGTCTAAAATTTATCTAGTCAATACAGGGCATAGTCTCTTACTTCCATCCACACAATCTGGTGGCCAGTTGACTGAAGCATACAATGTAAACTAAGGGTGTTTCAGAAACTGAAAACGGTTTGCTGTATCTTTCTTTCATGGAGACTGTCGTGCAGGCTGATATCATTTTGGCGTGGACTGCGTCAATTTCTTAAAGCAATATTTACAGCGACTATTATACTCACTACGCGCAGTCCGTTTCCTTAACGAGGAAGCTAAATTCATTTGCA